AATATATGTTCGTGAAATTAAACCTGAAGTCCTTATAATTTCGAAAAGACTCAAGTTCCCCTAGGATGACCGAACAGCTACAAATTTCATAGCACCACTTGGAATGCATTTACTAATTTCTAGAGATCTAAATTTAAAGTGCTCGGAAAAATCTTAAAAGTGATTTCAATGGTTTTAAAAGGAAACCGTCGTTGGGTGCACGGCCCGGACTGGGTACCCGGACTGTTTTAAGCTATTTCAAAAGCTATTGCTAAGGGTGGAACTACGTGCCCAGTCCAGACTCACCGATTATCTTGAGTAAAAAGAAGTTGGACTTTATCATTGTTTAAAAGAAGAAAAAAAAGGATCTTGACTGAATCACAATATAATTCTCCATAGCTGTAAGCTAGACTGGGAGCAGTCTCTCTTTTTCTCCAGATTTAGTAAAGTGAGTGCACGTGCGCGCGAGCGTTGATCGGCGAAGCCGCGCTCGTGATCATTTGCGTGTGTCGGGCGTTTTACTCGATAGGCTCAGTAATCGAGCCTATTTGCTCGACGGACCAAGAAAAAAGAGAGACTGCACGTATTCTAGCTGTAACCTGCCTCATTCTTCTAAATTTGGATCCGTTAATCGCTACCCATCCTGCAAACATCAAAACTTTATAACGAGCTAGGCCCAGCGTGATATAACAATGCAGGAAAATATCACATTCACGTAGTAAAGAAAATGGCTTAGTTATTTTTATTATACAGACACGAGTGTTTTACTGGAAAATATACCACTCGTAAAATTCATAAAAACTACATCCAGGACCCGAGTGGTTTATTTTCCATAATCTCATACGTGAGTTTATCGATGACGTATTTCGGTAATTTCCCTTCGAAATTTGATGGGGTCTTGCGTCTTTTGAATTTTACTCACACATTTTTTCAAACCTTTGCTGATTTTGGCATTGTAGAGCCCTATTCAGCTCAGTGTTGTTTCTCAAGATTATTGTAACCAATGTCTTATGTTGCTGTACTGTAAATTTGAGCCCTCACAATTACTTTTTGGCGAATAATAATTCATTATTTTATCGATGTCTTTTTGTCTGTATGATAAAAGGAACATTACACGGCGGCTTGAAGATATGAATTTTACTTTCTCGTAGCAAAAACAATATTTTACTCTCTCGCTGCGCTCGTTCGTAAAATAGTGTTTTGCCACTCGAAAATAAAATTCATATCTTCGCGCCACGGTGTAATATCCTCTACATGTATATATCCTCACAGGGAACCCGAACGTGAATTAGCTAATAGAATAATTAAATGTATTTACGCTGTATTTTTAGCTATTAAAATAATTTACCTGTGTTCCTGTGTCTTTATGAGCCGTTTTAGAAGGGATTTGAATCTGATCAGAGACGGTAAACATTGCTGGTTATCAAAATGCGTTTGCTTGTCTGGCGTGTCGTAAATAATTATAAGACGCTTGACTCGTCAGTTACCGTATTTTCTGGAATAATCGCCACATACGACACATACGACACATTTGCTCAGTCAAAACATAGAACCTTCGAACTAGAGCATACGTTATCTGCTTGCCAATAAAGAAAAAAACATATTGGAACAAGCAGCATTTTGGCATGCGGTGGAAGCCGTTTAGGCCTATAGAACCTTGATAACCCGAACCAGATTTCCTTTCCTCGATAGCACGAATTTCGCGCTAACTCGAACTGTTTTTCGTTTCCCTTCAGAGTTCGAGTTATCGCGGTTTTACTGTAATTTTGAGCGAAATTTGAAAATAGAGGAGTTCAGCCTCACAGTTGCATCATGGGTAATCAAGGCAAGATGGTGGGAAATTATAAGATTTGTATTACTATTCAAAGCCTGCTAATTCTTCCTGAATTCATATATTTGATGCTTTTTCTATGAAAAGAGTAACTTACGAGTTCAAAGAAATAATACACTAAATCTGGAGTGCAAATAAGTCCGTGATCAGTTTTTAGAAAACCTTGATTTTCCCATACATATTCTGTAATTCCACGGTACCAAAACTACAGAAAATGTATGGAAACATTAAGGTTTTCTAAAAACTGATCACGGACTTCTTTGAGGAAGCCTTCTTCTTCTTTGTCCTCTTTGAACTCGTAAGTTACTCTTTTCAAAGAAAAGAATTCAATTCGCTTAAGTGAATAAAACAAAACTCAGAGACAACTTTTAAAAATATTTAAAAATCCAAGATTAAAGCCACAAATATTTCAGAAACAACCACTCTGACGGAAGGTACACTGTCTCTCTCGAATGACGCAAATGAAGCGGGCAGCTTGGTCCACATTGAATGCCGTTGTGATTGGTTTGATACAGTCCGGTGCGGAAACGGTCTCATTAAAGCAAAGATACGCAATCAGAGAGCCGCTTTGGAACATTTGGTGTCGGTCAACTGAAATTAAACGGAGGGGTAATTTTAACCGATCGCCCAGAAAGAGGTAATTATATCCCCTTTTGTAGTCCTAATGCTTTTCATAGCGATTTTGATAATTTTACCTGGGTCAAAAGGTGTTTGTCTTAAAATTCGCCCCAGTCCCTCTCGCGCCAAGTGATTATTTGAAGCCGAAATGGTCCCTTTTTTTTTCAAGATCGGTTAATTTGAGGTTAGTTAACTGAAAAATAAAGCCTAGACAAACAAACGGGCTTAAGGTTTTAATAAGATTCATAGTTTTCGCTATAAAATAAGAATTTTTGACGATCGTTTAAGTTTCGAACATTTCGCGCGAAATTAGTGTTGGGGGACTACTCAGGCGACTTGGGGAAGAACTCAGAAATCGGTTCTCAGTACCATTTTTAGCTACAACGACGCCAAAGTACAGTGGAACCCGGTTAATACGGACACCAAGGTGACATGCCATAGTGTCCGTATTATCCGGGTGTCCGTATTAAGCGGGCTCTAAGAGAAAAAGTCAGGAACACATGTTTTATTGATATAAAGACCAAAGCAGACAGTTTTACGAGAACACGTTGTTTAATTTCTTAACTGTAACAGTAATAAGTTCATCTTAAAGAAACCTCACGATCATTTATCATAGTCTCAGAGTAAAATCTTTTAAGTATTGTAGTATTGTTATTGAAACAGGCACGACAGTGGATTTATTTGAAAAAGTCTGTGACTTTACTTTAAGAGCAATGGCTGTAACAAAAAGCCAAGGAAGTGCCTGAACGTGTGTAACAGGAGGCAGAAAGCTTTATTAAAGGACTATACGTAGTGCAAGAGTCAAACACCGGAGGAAGGAGAGACTGTTCAAAATCAAATATGTCACGCTACNATTGTTATTGAAACAGGCACGACAGTGGATTTATTTGAAAAAGTCTGTGACTTTACTTTAAGAGCAATGGCTGTAACAAAAAGCCAAGGAAGTGCCTGAACGTGTGTAACAGGAGGCAGAAAGCTTTATTAAAGGACTATACGTAGTGCAAGAGTCAAACACCGGAGGAAGGAGAGACTGTTCAAAATCAAATATGTCACGCTACTTTGTTACTGTTTTTTTTTTTAGTACTGTTAGTAATAAAATTTTATTCACCCTAAAAAATCTGTCATTATTTGAACAGGGTACAATGTCTACAATTATCACATAATTGTGACAATGAAAATAGACAGTGTGCATATAACCAGTGTCCGTAAAGCGGTGTTGACAATATATGAGAGTTTGTGACTCGGGGCACAGAAAAGTGTCCGTTGTCCGTAGTAACCGGTGTCCGTATAAAGCGGATTAATTTTAGAGAAAATATATGATCTTTTTGTCGGAACAAACGAAACTGTCCGTATAAAGCGGGTGTCCGTAGAGCGGGGTTCCACTGTACAACGCTGTTTGAGTACCCAACAACCTGCCGTGATTGGTCAAAACCTAACAACTATTCAAAAGTCTTTGTGTACATAGAAACAACGGGATATCCTTTGTTAGAACTGTGATTAAGGTTGTGGTAATGAGAACTCCAAGTGTCCGTACATTCGGTTATGAAAATTGTATTAATGGGAGTTAACTTTTCGGAACGTGATCTGTTTACTCCGATTGCATAATCTAGATGACAAAAGTTTTCTGATTATATAAAAGACGCCGACAGAGATCAGTGAAATTACGTTGAAGGTTATTAACTAAAGTGTCCAATGTTCTCTCCGTAAACGAAGTTACGACTCCACAGTTTTTGCTGGCAATAAGTTTCGACTCCAATAGCTTGTTTATAATTATATGTTTTTATATTATCGTCATGATCGTTTGCTCTTAAAGCTATCGGATCAAACTGTTGCATAACACAAGGCACAACTGTTTATCCAAATAGCCAAAACAACTAATTAGACTGGATTAACCGAGACAAAGATTGTTTACTGACTAAGAGTAAAAGTAATTAAGTACTTCAGGTCCAAACGTGCGCGTTACTTAGCGACAGTCCGATCATCTCTTCTTCACAAGCTTTCAAGGTCAATCACGTTTTCTTAATAGTTTCTAATAAACCTGGTACCTTATAACACCCAAATCACGCAAAACATGAAAAGTAATTGAATAAGATAAATGACCCGATAAATATTCAAAACAGTCCTCGCTGATGTAAAATGAACGATTGATGAATAGTAAAACACTCCATCCAAATATAAAACTATTGAACACTAGTAAAACCGTAAAAGTACGAAATTGTATCCTAACACTTAGGGGGAAAAAACTCAGAATTACGGGCACGCAGGGCGAAAACAAGCACGGTGACCCTATCTTTTTACTGCAGTTTTTGAATGTACTATAAATGGCTGTCATTTGAACCCATTTTGAAAAAAATCTGGAATTTATACATCATTTTCAAAGGAATTACCTTAAGTTAAGACAGAGGAGATTATAACATCGATCTCATGCTACCAAAAACTCCCAGTTTGTGGTTCAGTGGAGAACAGCCCATTTACCTCACAAATTTCTCGACCCACGGCCCCGGCCACTCAGCTACAGATTTGTGCGTTTTTAACTGCGGATCGTTTTTGAGTAAAGGGCCCTGGGAACCAGACTACACAAGGTGCGTAATGTGCCCTTTTTTGTCATTGTTGTTTTCCGTCAAGTCTGTTAACCTAGACTGACTGAGTGATTCTGAAATCAGTAACTGTGTATATGTAGACAAAACTGACGACACCTATATCTGGTTCCTTCCGGTAGCATGGCCAATGCAGTGAAGGATTTTGTTCGAAATGGCCTGTCATCGTTATTTGGAAGAAAGAATTTCAGTAGCCACGGTAGTCAAGAATACCTTCATGTTGAAGATCAAGAAGATAGCGATGACGGTGTAGTTTATCCAAGCGAGGAGATGCAAAGGAAAAGCGATGGGAAAGGCGAGGATACAAGTACAGCAAATGAGGAAAAATCTGAGAAAACTTCCGCTTTGCAAGCGGCTTGGAATGTTCTCAATTTAATTCAAGGTCAGCGCTAGCCATAATCATATTTAAAAGCGAACGAAAAGTTCTATGATGTGTTTTATGTGTGTATATATGTTTAAAAGAGAGTGCAGTGGAAAATCAAACCCTTTGTTTGTCCTCATAAATGAGGGTCGTTGAAATGGTTGAAAATTGAACCATCTTTTATACCGAGTACCATGTTCGAAAAATTGTGACCAACAACCACGACATAAGGTCAGTGATAAAAGAGTTCCGTGAACGTATGCAGAAAAAAGTATAATTCGGTTGCCTTAAGAAAATCAGGGCTCGCAAGTATTTTTTTTCCCTATACTACATTTAAATGTGGTTAATTTGGGCCACGAAGCAAGACGTATATCATATTTTCATATCTTTTGCGTTCTTGGGGCTGTCACAACTTTGGAAAATCAAAAATGGAAGGTTCATCCTTAGAATTGTTGCAAATTTTTGGTTTCCCGAAAAAAAAAAAATAATAATAACTTTAAGGAGGACATATGTTTAGTTGAATCATGCAGATTTTCTTGCAGGTTAATACAACAAAAAGGGATGAAAAAAAGAAACTACTCCAATTCCAATTGTATTAAAAAATAATTAGGATCTACCGTGAAGAGAATTCAATTAAACGCCATGTATTATTTATCGCGTAGTAGAAGTCGAAAGTATGTTAAAGAAATCCCTTTTATAGGTCGATCAATTTTCATAAGACTGAATAAAATCAGTAAACCGGCCTATTTGGCATTACCTTTCTAAAGGGGGCTACTCTTTTGCTTAAATCGTCTTTGGTTCCTTGTGACATAACAACGAGCGACCTATGTTTGAAAAAAATCAAGCAACAATGCCTTTAATAATCATTTCCCTTATATGAATATTTTATAGAGACCGCAATTGAGAACTTCGAAAAGAAATTTCATAAGACCCAAGTCGCATTATTATTTCTTGAAGGAATATTCGATAAATTAAGTTTAGAGTCAGAGAAAGATAACTTTCTGCCTCTGAGGTACTGTCTTGTTTAATATTATGAGAAAAAAGCAAACCTTCAACTTATAAAATATTAAGTACACTGAAGGTTGGAAGTGAATTAGTTTTCAAATGTGAAATCCAAACAATGTGAATCGTTGCCAATTTTTTTAAATAGGAAAACAAATTTTGAATTGCTGCTTTAAGTCGCCCACGAACGGTTTTTCCCACTCCACAAAAGTTCGACAATTTTTCGCTCATTAAAATTTTTCCAGTCTTTCGAAACATAATTACACGTGTACACTCATTTATTTATTCACAGCGTAAAGCTTGAGCACTGAACAGAACAAAAAAAGGCTTTACAAAGCAATTGCTAATTAAACTGTTAAAAAATTCTCTTTTTGCGATTCCCTACAGTTCATCAACGCAGAAACTAGCTGTTGCGAGAAACAAAAACTGTCTTCAATATAGTGTCAGACAGCTGTCACCTAAATCAAAGTCTTTTAATTTCTAAGATAAAAAAAGCTTTGTGGAGTTATTTTGAAGTTTGCTTCATTGAACACGCCAAAAAATTATTTTCTTTTTTCTTCTCTTTTTCCCTTTTTTGTAACTAATTAGAAGACACCAAATCATAGGAATCATATACTTGATTTTTGGTTCGTAAGAGAGTTAACCAGAACTCTGCTAAAGGAATAAGAAAGAAAAAAAAGGATAGTTATCTGAACTAGTAAATTCAAAGGCGAACCACTTATCCTCTACTTCAAGTTAGGAATTGCTGAATCAAATTTCTTTTTCAGCAAAAATTCACGTATCCAACAACCTGAAAGAAACGTCGGTTAAATTCTACAAGACACTGATTTAAAGGGCAGAAGCTAATTAAACAAGGAGATAATTTTCCTTTTGTCCGCAACTTGTGCCCACAATAGGTTGCAGCTGCCTTGAGAAAGAGACATTTGGTCTGTGGCCCTCAACCTCCCCTCCTTAGTAACTAAGAAACCGCTCATGAGACGGTCACCACACAGAATGATGCACTCATCATTTCCAACATCTAGGCATAACTTGATTGACACGATGACGTAATTTTGAACTTACTGGCAGGGTCCAAATCTTATCAATAATTTTCCCCTTCAAGTGGCCATAAATTTAGATTTAAATTGGTTCCGAGGGTATAACACTATAACGCCATGATACTTCCAGTATTCGACTATTGTGCTGTCGTATGGGACTCCTGCGGTAAGACTGACCAAGGGTACTTAGATAAGTGCAAAGGCGTGCCGCCAGTATTAATGAAGGCTACACAGTTTCACAACCGCAAATATCTCGCACATTCGGTTGGCCTACGCTCCAGTACCGAGTACATGCTAGTGTTTAACAGCCTTCATGGCCTGGCTCCAGCATATGAATTTAGCCTATAACACGCGCCATAGAGATTTGCTCCGTCTGCCCCTAGCTAGGACAACTAAGTGCCAGGGCTCCTTCAGGTTCAGCGGAGCCAAGATCTGGAACACGCGTCCTCTCGACCTGAGGAGCGAGCATGATATTAAAAAGTTTGCGTTTGGCCGAAAAAGGCACTTTAGATCTAAGCCTAAATGAGCCCCCTTTACTTATGTTATACTTAGTTCTACCATTTTTTATCCTTATTTGTCTTGTGTCTTGTTTTCTTTTTCATCAAGGCTCTATTCAAACCAGCCTCGCTGAACTGGGCACCCCTGACTAAATATTGTTTAAAATAAATAAAATATGAATGCTTTCCACCCGAAAGGTTTTCTTTTAATGTGAGCAAATAGCTCATCTCAGCTTTCATCTCTTTCTCTCTCCAATAGGAGATCGTTTTATTTTTTTAAACACATTTTGGTAAATATTTCTCACACTATGGTTACGAGATATAACGGCGGGATCGAGCTATTTTTAGACTGAAATGCGAGATTTATTTGTACAAATTTGTATCAAACAGTACCAAAAAAGGAAAGCAATAAGTCTCATGACATTATCCAGAGACCTTTGGCATGTAAAAAATGTTTAGTTTCTACATCATTTGGATAAAAGTGAATTTTCAAGCAATCCATGCTGGCGGCCATTTGAATGACGTCTCCGGCTACCATAATACTTCTAATAACTTCTGGAACTCATTGTGGGTTAATCTTATGAAAATACACTAACATAAATTTAAGAGTCATTAATTCTTCTAATTCTTCAATTGCAGGGACCGGTACACTTGGCGTTCCGTTTGCTGTGATGCAAGGTGGATATATGTCACTGGTCGCCATTGTGGTTATTTCATTGATCACGAATTACACTGGGAAACTTATTATCGAATGTTTATACGAGAAGCCGTTTAATGATCAAGACACGCGGGGAGTCCGTCTAAGGAATAGCTACGCATTAATAGGTAACACCGATTTTGCAGTAAAAATAACTTGTAAGATTATGGATTCGTCTAAGAATTGATCGCCTCCTCATTTCTCGATCTAATCTCCAAGCAAGCGAGACTGACTGCCGCTGTAAGCGCGTTCTCGATCTACATGCAAAACGAAACGAATCAGGATGAAGTTGATCTCACTCCAGAGAACATTCCCGGTGCGAGCTTCAGTTAAAAAGAGATAGAACCATAATTTTTTCTCTCTCTTCTTCACTAAAGCTAGCACCACGAAAGTCCTCTGGAGTAAGGTCGACTTGATCGTCCGCCATGTTAGTTATTTCAAATTTGCCGTGAGGGTTATTGAGCCTCACTTTGATGCAACTTCCGTTTTTTTTTTTTCCTGGAATCGGAGTATTAACTAAGCTTTTTTGCTCTTATTTCTCCCATGTTTTTTTTTAGGAAAAGCTTGCTGGAAAAGGTATGGCTCAGGAGTGGTCTACGCAGCTCAAGTAATGCAACTTTCTTGCGCATGCGTACTGTACCTACTGCTCGTGGCCGATTTTTTCAACGATCTGTTTGAACACCACTCGCTATCGTATGCAGTGTGGACCGTCATTGCGGGTTGTATTCTTCTGCCTTCGGTGTTTTTGAACCAGCTTAAGCGTATCTCCTGGCTGAGCATGTTCAGTGTGGTTGCGCTTGTTATGGTCTATGTTGCTGTTATTGGCTTTGGTGTTGTCAATCGTTACAACTGGAATTTCAACCTTGGCTTAACCACCCTTGAGGGCTTCCCTGTCGCCTGGGGGATCATTCTCTTCAGTTTTGTGTGCCATCCATATCTTCCAGGTAATATGATTGTTCATGAATATTACAAAGGTGTTCTAAGGGACCAGTCATTATTTATCGCCTGAGGGGTGGGGATTTGAGGCTAAACAAGGTGAAATTTAGCCGATCCCCTCTTTGAATGTTACTTCACTGAAGTGATCCCCCCTAATAACATTTGATGACTTTCGCGATCCTCCCCCATGTCTTCATTTTCCAAGCAAATTTAAGTGGCCCCCCCCCCCTCTATATCCTTCCAAAGTTTTCAGTGATCCCCCCTTTTGGGTTACGACTGATTCCCCCTTTTGTTCTCCTAAAAATCAAGTGATCCCCTCAAAATCCTCCTCCCCCCAGGCGATAAATAATGACCGATCCCTTACGTCATTCGATCAAGTCAGTGCTGAAACGAGCTAATTCAGAAAGTCGACATTTCGTCAAACATACAGGGACATTCAACACTCTAAATTTCCGTCGAACTTTTGTCGGAACATAAACCCAGTCTGAAATTTTCTCTTCGATGATATTCAATGACTGGGAATATTCATGATCAGAGCACTAATATTAAAATTAAGAAATTGCAAGTTCGCCTATTTTACAAAGTGAAAGGACAAGAAACTTTTCAGTAGCTCTCAGGAGATAGAGAACTGCAAAGACGTCTGTTCACGCAAATCTCCTCAGTTTCCTAATAGAGAGTAGAGAAGTCTCTAAGTTTCACATTTCTCAACTTTTGTAAAACTCTGTGCACTGAGTGGTGGAAATTCCACAATGTTCTCGTTTGAGACTTCCCCTTTGGGTAACGAATTGCCCTCTACAAACACTTCCTCCGAAAAATCTAGTCGAATTCCACGGTTTCCTGGTTTACAGGTTGTTCTTTAGTATCTGAGGTTATCCATGTTGCGTAATCGGCACACTCAGCAGTTGCACTTTCTGCAATTTTCTCGTGTGATGAGTCGTCTGTGGCACTTGAATTAACGTCTGCGAAAACTTTTCTTGCATTGTCCTCATTCAGGGGCACCCAGCGACAATTTTCGGAAAATATCTGTTCGGAAGACGATTTGAGATGTAGAATTTTCGGAACATTTGTTGTAAAATTTCTTGCTTGCCTGCCTCTCCTAGGATTTTCGAACATCTAAAAAAATGGTATAATTGCCTACTTTTAACGAATTTTTACCCTAAAAAGGTCACCTATAATTTTCGGGAGCCTTTCTTCTGGCTCTAATTTTCGAAAAGGTAAGTTTTGATCCCTATAATTTTTGGATCACTAGACTTTCAGCTAGGACTGAATCCGAACAGATGAAAAATTTTTAGGGGATAAAAATACGCCTATATCTACCGTTTAAATACTAAAATACGTTTAACAATGCTATGTTTAAGTGGTTTCGATCTATATTCTCGTTGGGTGCCCCTGCTCAATAGCCGCAGGACTATCCATTACTATGGGGTTTGATAAATGGCTCATAGGATCTGTTTTAGACATCGTCACAACGGCGTTTCCATTGTTGTCTTCTACCATAGCCACTGGAATTTTTATCGTTTTCTGGTTTGATGGATTGTCCGGGGATCTGAGTAAATCATTACATTCCCCCTTGGAACCGTTCTCATTAGGTGTTGTGAGATTTTCTTCATTTTCCTGTTTCGATGATCGGTCGTTAGGTTCTGGATGTACCTCCATAGTTATTTTATTTTGTGTGTAATCCTCTCTGCACTTTGGACGTTCTTTTCCGGAGCTTGTCCNAAAAAAAAAGATATGTGATAATAGGTGTGATCATTGTAACTAAATTTAAATCCTCTGAATAAACCAGTTTGTTTTCTCGTAAAATAATACACACGTAATGAAAATTGCTGTAACGATAGCTCCGCTTTCCCAAGCACGTCTTGAATTTTGCAACTTCTGTTCAAGGGTTGGAGGGGATGGTCCGAGAAGGAAAGAGAACTTCCTTGAAGACGAAACGGGCATGCACGCTGCAAAACGAGTTGAAAAGCAATGATGCGCGGTTCACCGCACACTAATCAAACCTGTCTCGCAACAAATGAATGAATACTGACTTTTGATTGATAAAATTACGCCAGAGTCACACCCTACAAGGATGTTACGTAACGTGCTCCAAAAAAAGTTTGCTTGGCACGGAAAAAAGGGGAACATGTACCGATCTTGTAGCAAAGAGTAGAACTATTCTCTACCTTCTGCAACAAATGTTCGCTACCTGCAACAACCTAATTTGTTGCAAGACGGGTTTGAACGTGGCTACACGTAGTAAAACGCGCGACGTCGCTTTTCCAGTCGTTTTGTAGCAAATTGCAAAACAAGTTGCACGTATTTGTTGCCCGTTTTACCGTACCATTAGGGCATGCGCAGTCCGTAATGACATATCTAACCTCAGAAGAAATATGTACGCGAAAGTAGTCCACGTGACATGTGATTGAGGGCTGAGGAATTTATGTGGTGGAAATTAGACCTCATGAATATTCAGGTTAACCATTTCTATCTAAATGTACCAAGACAAAGTGGCGACTCTTTGGGACTCTTTAATTAAGTATTTCGCACTCTTATCATATTTATACAACGCGAGGAAACATTAACAAAAAAAGCCCTACTTTATATTGGAAGTAATTGCGCTTCTCGAGCCCAAAAGGAAGGTTTCAGTACAATTTGGGTAGTCCTTCTTCTAGGTAAAGTAATTACACAGCAAAGCGGTAAAGAGACGTTGAAGTAAAAAAGGGTTCACTTTGACAGTTTGACGGTCTTGATGGCCGGATTCAGTTTCAAGAAAAAAATGTATTAGGATGGAAAGTTCACGTGAAAACACCTATGAATCGTTCAAGAAAATCGGCATTTCTTGGGAATACATGGTTCCTATATATTCAATTGATTTTAGTTAAATACATGAAGAGCGGTATCGTTTTCGTTATTTTTCTCACTTCATTTCCTTGAAAATCTCAGTTCATTATGTCCGGCTACCAGATGTGAGTATCTCTGACTTCACTAATGATGTGTCCTGCTCTTTGCAGAGCCTGCAGAATGATAAAAAGTATGAATATGTCAAAAAGAAATTATAATCTGAAGGGACTATGTCTCGAGGATATTGCTGCTTTAGGTCAATTCTGCTAAAGTCATTAGTGCCTTTACCGATACACAAAATGCTGTTGTAGAGTTATGAAGTAATATATTAAGCACGAGATGCAGTGTTTCAGCACCATATGAAACACTCCCTGAGAAGAGAGTGGAAAATACGACACGCAGCGGAGTATTTTTGACGAACTTCGAGGTGTTTCATCACAAATGTGTCGAATGCTTGAGATTACTTCTCAAGCAAAATGATTTTAGAAGAAAAGTTAAGGACGCAAAAATGAGCAGTTTTTTATCTGATTTCCAAACACTCATTTAACATTAATTTCCTTTGTATTTTCTTTATGAATTATTAATGAGTTCGAGAAGAAGACATCAAACAAATCTCATCAGAGAACACTAAACAAAATAAGTATTTGATGATTTTTTTCCGCAGGCATATCATTAGGGACTTTAAGATCCAAAGACGCGGACGGCAACGAGAACGTCAAAAAAACAATTGGTTTAATAAGCAAAACAACAACTTTGCACGTGCATCACGCTATTTTTGTACATTTCTTTTGTGTTCTTGCACGACTACGACGTGAAAATACCTAATTTGGCGTTTTATGGAGGACGTAAACAAGCAACGACGAAACTTTATTTCTCTTTCTGAGCTTGGATATGGTCCTTTGAAATTCAGCTTCAGGAGGGTTCACCTACATTTGACAAAGTAAGTGGGTAGGAATAATTGCTATCAAGAATGAAGGAACGCAAATTCCGTTTTTAAGCGACGTTCTCGTTGCTGTCGAGTCGTTGGATCTTAAAGTCCTTATTAGAACAATGACAAAGTTGGCACGACTTCTTCAAGTTTCAATCAATGTTCATCCTTGCCATTCACAGCAACAGAGGACAGGAAAAATTTACCACTACTTTTGGAATTCAATTAATGTGAAGGCACGTTCTAGCTTTTTTAAAAAAGTAAGCAAATAGAGTTTTTTTTATAAAATATTAATCAGTTTTCCTCAATTTCATTAGTAATTCCTAAAGAAAATACAAAGAAAATAAGCGAAATTTAATTTATCACTTCTTAAAAACACTCCAATGCGCGTCGTATTTTAAACTCTCTTCAATTCATTTAGTTTCACTAAATGAGTTAATCAACTCGATTTACCACCGTAAAACTTGAAGACTGAAAAGCTGACCTTTGGCCACCAATAAAGCATCAAAGATTCTGTTGAAATTAACCTAAACTATCAGGGAACAAACCCGAAGGTGGCTTACATTCAAGTAAATGCTAAATATATTTGAAATCGACTTCTCATTTGAAAGTGATTGTTTTCCAGATACCTTCAACATTTCCGTAGCCTCTTTTCTTTTGATGTGCATTTGTTCAGCTTCTTCAAGGAGCTTGTCAAATATTTCACTCTGCAATAAAAGTTTATTTTTATCAACCTAGTTTTAACACTGGCATGGGAAACACTCAATGCGATACCTGGGTCCGAGACTCAAAATACCAAGCAAGAACAGATCGGCTGCCAGTCTTAGTACTTTAAGACCCGGATACGCAGTCTTGATTTATGGAACATTTTAGATAGATGTAGTGGCTGCTACCTTTGCAATTCGTAATTTTAAATTTTCTTAATTACGATTTTAATCACAAGATTTTAGAATTTTGATAATTATAAATGGAGTTTTTGTAGTATGTATGTTAGTGAGGTATCATTAGTAGTTTCTAACTCTAACCCGTAGTAGATTCTAGTTTCGACTCTATATTAATTCGTTTTGTATTTTTAGATTGTATTGTAGAAAGTTAGGTGTCCCCTATTAGCAATGGGGAATCCCTTCTGCTAGATTTTTTGCTTGACACGTAAATAAAGTCATTATTATTATCATGATTACATGCAAGAATAACCATCGGTTCGTCTAGATGTGCAAGCCCATTCTGAGCGCAGTCTAAGGCCCAAACCAAGTTGGCGGGACACCCTTTTTCGATGGTCGGGTAGCCCACCAAGCGGACAAACCTTTCTCCATATAAACACTTTGACTCGCCCAGCCGGATCAACTCGGTAAAGACAAGACAATCAGAGCATGCGCGAGCGCTATTATCAGTGCTTGGCCAGGGCAAAGAAGTCCAATTTTTCTCATATAAACACTAGCTAAAGTTGATTCGGCTAGGACGGTGACCCTCTTTCGGTTTTTCGGCATATAAAGAGCGCTTAACACGAAATAAATTTGTAAAAGCTAAGCAAAGTATGTCGAAGTTTAGATTTTAATTCTATTGGTTTCGTCAAAGTTATTTTTACAGTAGTACCACTTATATGCTGTTAGGCAACTAAACTTTTGGAGAGTTTACTAGAAATAACGCTCTGAGCGCCGGGAACTGCAGCTTTAGTTATTTTCGTGTTTTTTTTTTTTTCAGCACATGCCAACATAACTTTACTCGAGCGTGTAGCCAAAAAAAAGAATCAAAGAAAGACTATCGTCAACTCGTGGGTACGTTGTTTACAAAATAATCAATTAGTTATCTCCTCTGGTTTTCCCACAGTGAATTTTAGGAAGTGATAGAAATTCATATTATAAATATACTATCCTTGTTCTGGAAACACAATACTTTTCTTGAGTTTATTGTACTTTAGTAACAGTTATTTAAGTATATATTTAAAAACAAAACCAAAAAAACTGCAAAACAAATAAGCAAACAAGACAAAACAAAAAAGAAAAAAAAAAAGGAAGAAGGGAGAAACAAGGTCCTTAGCAGGATTTGAAACCGTTAAACCAGTTTGTTTTCTCGTAAAATAATACACACGTAATGAAAATTGCTGTAACGATAGCTCCGCTTTCCCAAGCACGTCTTGAATTTTGCAACTTCTGTTCAAGGGTTGGAGGGGATGGTCCGAGAAGGGAAGAGAACTTCCTTGAAGAAGAAACGGGCATGCACGCTGCAAAACGAGTTGAAGAGCGAAGATGCGCGTTTCACCGCACACTAATCAAACCTGTCTGGCAACAAATGAATGAATACTGACTTTTGATTGATAAAATTACGCCAGAGTCAATTACCCTTAGGGCTGTCCGTAATGACATATCTAACCTCAGAAGAAATATGTACGCGAAAGTAGCCCGCGTGACGTGATTGACGGCTGAGGAATTCATGTGGTGGAAATTAGACCTCATGAATATTCAGGTTAACCATTTCTCACTAAGACCCTGTTTACATGGAGTGGGGGACCCCGGTCTAGTGGGGTAGGTTTCTATTGTTTTGTGTCCCCCAGAGCGTGAAAACAAAAGAAACCAACCCCACTAGACCGAGGTTCCCCACTCCATGTAAACAGGCCCTAAATGTACCAAGACAAAGTGGCGACTCTTTGGGGACTCTTTAATTAAGTATTTCGCACTCTTATCATATTTATACAACGCGAGGAAACATTAACAAAAAAATGCTCTACTTTATATTTTGGAAGTAGTTGCGCTTCTCGAGCCGAAAGGAACGTTTCAGCACAATTTGGGTAGTCCTTCTTCTAGGTAAAGTAATTACACACCAAAGCGGTAGAGAGACGTTGAAGTAAAAAAGAGTTCATTTTGATTGTCTTGATTGCCGGATTCAGTTTCAAGGAAAAAAAAAAGGATTAGGATAGAAAGTTCACGTGAAAACACCAATGAATCGTTCAGGAAAATCGGCATTTCTTGGGAATACATTGTTCCTATATATTCACTTGATTTTTATTAAATACATGAAGAGCGGTATCGTTTTCGTTATTTTTCTCACTTCATTTCCTTGAAAATTTCAGTTCATTATGTCCGGCTACCAGATGTGAGTATCTCTGACTTCACTAATGATGTGTCCTGCCCTTTGGAGAGCCTACAGAAAGATAAAAAGTACCAATAGTTAAAAAGAAATTATAATCTGACGAGACTCGATGTCTCGATGACTCAATGTCTCGAGGATATTGTTTCTCTAGGTCAATTCTGCTAAAGTCATTAGTGCCTTCACCCATACAAACAAATTATGCTGTTGTGGAGTTATGAAGTAATATATCAAGCATGAGATGCAGTGTTTCAGCACCATATGAAACACTCACTGAGAAGGGAGTTGAAAATACGACGCGCAGCGGAGTATTTTTGACGAACTTCGAGGTGTTTCATCATACTGTGTCGAATGCTTGAGATTACTTCTCAAACAAAATGATGTTAGAAGGAGAAGTTAAGGATACAAAAATGAGCAGTTTTTTTTTTATCTGATTTCCAAACACTCGTTTAACATTAATTTCCTTAGTATTTCTTATGAATTATTAATGAGTTTTGAGAAGAAATCAAACAAATCTTGTCAGAGAGCACTAAACAAAATAAGTTTTGGTGATTTTTTTTTTGCAGGCATATCATTAAAACAATGAAAAAGTTGGCGCGACTTTTTCAAGTTTTAACCAATGTCCATCCTTGCCATTCATAGCAACAGGGGACAGGAAAGATTTACCACTATTTTTGGAATTCAACTGGTGTGAAGACACGCTCTAGGTTCTTTAAAAAGAAAGCAAATAAAGTTTTTCATAAAATATTGATCAGTTTTTCCTCAATTTTATTAGTAATCCCTACAGAAAATGAGCGAAATTTAATTGATCATTTCTTAATAACACTCCAAGGCGCGTCGTATTTTAAACTCTCTTCAATTCATTTAGTCTCACTAACTAGGTTGATCAACTCGATTTACCACCATAAAACTTGAAGATTGAAAAGCTGACCTTTCACCACCAATAAAGCACCAAAGATTCTTTTGAAATTAACCCTAAACTATCAGGAAACAAATCCGATAGTGGCTTACACTCAAGAAAATGCTAAATGGCCCCTGACTTTTAACACATTTGCTATCGACTTCTCATTTAAAAGTCATTATTTTCCAAATACCTTCAACATTTCCGTAGCCTCTTTTCTTTTGATGTGCATTTGTTCAGCTTCTTCAAGGAGCTTGTCAAATATTTCACTCTGCAATAAAAGTTTATTTTTATCAACCTAGTTTTAACACAGTTACGCATGGAAAGTACTCAATTCGATATCTAGGTCCAGGACTCTGGGGCAACATACCAAGCAAGGACAGATCGGCTGCTAGTGGCTGCTACCTTTGCAATTCGTAATTTTAAATTTTCTTAATTACGATTTTAATCACAAGATTTTAGGATTTTGATAATTATAAATGGAGTTTTTGTAGTATATATGTTAGTGCGTCATCATTAGTAGTTTCTAATTCTAACCCGTAGTAGATTCTAGTTTCGACTCTATATTAATTCGTTTTGTATTTTTAGATTGTATTGTAGAAAGTTAGGTGTCCCCTATTAGCAGTGGGGAATCCCTTCCGCTAGATTTTTTGCTTGACAGGTAAATAAAGTCATTATTATTATCATGATTATTACTATTATTATTATTATTATTATTATTATTAAGTAGGAGTTTAGAGCCCTTGCACTTGGTGCTTTGTTGTCGTTGTCTATCATCATCATCGTCATCGTCGTCATCATTATCATCATCGTCATCATCATTATTATCACAAACTAACTTCTAAAAATACTTCCATGTGTTCTGATAGACTGCTAGCAGTCTTCTGGGATTACTGTGGGGGCGAACAGATTACATGCAAGAATAACCATCGGTTCGTCTAGATGTGCAAGCCCATTCTGAGCGCAGTCTAAGGCCCAAACCAAGTTGGCGGGACACCCTTTTTCGATGGTCGGGTAACCCACCAAGCGGACAAACCTTTCTCCATATAAACACTTTGACTTGCCCAGCCGGATCAACTCGGTGAAGACAAGACAATGAGAGCATGCGCGAGCGCTATTATCAGTACTTGGCCAGGGCATAGTTAATTGAGTGGAATGGTTATGAAACCCGTCAGACTCCTTTGTTATATGTTTTTGTGGACCTGAAAGTGCACAACGTTCAAAAGAATTCCTATCATTTTGATTGTATTGACCAATACAAAACGTTGCATTAATTTATTCCGTAACAATTTGCCAACAGAAAACAAAGGATTGTGCACTTTCAGGGTGCTTCCAACATAAACTGCAGCACTGTTGTTTTTATCATTGATGTTTGCCGCTTTTCATAACCAGTCTCCTCTAATAACTATGGCCAGGGCAAAGGAGTCCAATTTTTCTCATATAAACACTAGCTAAAGTTGATTCGGCTAGGACGGTGACCCTCTTTCGGTTTTTCGGCATATAAACGGCGCGATAGATTTGTAAAAGCTAAGCAAAGTATGTCGAAGTTTAGATTTTAATTCTATTGGTTTCGTCAAAGTTATTTTTAACAGTAGTACCACTAATATGCTTTTAGGCAACTAAACTTTTTGAGAGTTTACTAGAAATAACGCTCTGAGCGCGGGGAACTGCAGCTTTAGTTATTTTCGTGTTTTTTTTTTCAGCACATGCCAACATACTTTACTCGAGCGTGTAGCCAAAAAAAAGAAAAATGACACGATAATTACATAAGGTGACACTTTAATTTGGACGAAGAAGAATTCTAACACGAGAAAGCACAGAACTGAAGAGGAGAAAAAAAAGAACGAGTTCCAGGTAAGAATCGAACTCACAGCCCTCCGAGTTTCAGATGCTCTAACCATTAAGCTACTGGACGCTCTATGGTGAGCAGGGTCGAAATACACCAGTCACAGCCAATTCCCACTTTTCCTTAGAACAGCATACAAGAACCCGTACAATAAATATAGGCTTCATTGTAAGCTGTTCAGAGGTTGAGCAGGCATGAGAAAATTTCCTTTATTTGGAATAAGGATAACTCTAACACCAGAAAGAACAGGAAAAAGAAATAATAATAATAATAATAATAATAATAATAATAATAATAATAATAATAATAATAATAATAATAATAATAATAATAATAATAACAGTTCCAGGTGAGAATCGATCTCTCACGGCCCTCCAAGTTTCAGTTCGGTGCTCTAACCATTAAGCTACCGGAGGCTCTACAGCGAGCAGCGTCGAAATACACCAGTCACAGCCAATTCCCACTCCTCCTTAGAACAGCATACAAGAACCGTACAATAAATATAGGCTTCATTGTAAGCTGTTCAGAGGTTGAGCAGGCATGAGAAAATTTCCTTTATCCTATCCTGCATTACAAAACGTAACACTTTAATTTGGAAGAAGGAAAATTCTAGCACCAGAAGGCACAGAGAAAAAACCGAGTTTCGAGTGAAAATCGAACTCATG